ATATAGCAACGAACAGATCGTGCTGGTAATTAAAAAGACCAGAAGCATCAGGGAGCTAAGCTAAGCCTCTTCTATCAAGTTTGGTCTACGAACTGGCGCGCAGCTGGCCTTGGCCTTTTCCTCCTCCTCGTGTTGCTTTCGCTTGTTTTCCTTCAAAGTCTCGCAGCGCTTCTTCGCGGCCTCCAAGCCACAGGCCGCCTCCTCCTTCACGGTCTCTCCCTGCGAGCCCAAACTCGACTCAGCGGCCGCGGTCCTTGGACGCAAAAGCAAAAACTGCACACACCTCTCCTGAAGTCTCTTCCGTGTCCTTGCTTCCAAAGACGCACTGCTCTCTTACTCCACAAGGGTGGATTTTCTAAGGCCTGCGCTGCAGCAAGTCTTGGAGCTCCTTCTCCAAGGCATCCAAAGTTTCCGGGGTGGCCATGCGCACTTTCTGAATCTGTCGGCGAATGGCTAGGACGGAGCGCTGCTCCAGGCGCCGCTTCTCAAGTTCTTGCTGAGCCTTCTCTTGCTGAGCCTTCTCGAGCTCCTTTCGCTGCAGAGCCTCAGCCTCCCTCCGTCTCATCTCCTCGGCTTTCCGGGCTTCGATCTTTCTCCTCTCCTCCATCTGTTGCATCTGTTGCATCTGTTGTTGCATCTGTTGTTGCTGTTGCCTCTCTCTCTCTCGCAGCTCTCGCTCCCGCTGCTCCCGCTCACGTTGCTCCCTCTCGCGCTGCTGCGCTTGCTGCTGCGCCTGCTGCTGCGCCTGCTGCTGCGCCTGCTGCTGCGCCTGCTGCGCTCGGATCGCGGCCTGTTGTGCATCCCAGGGTGACGGGGTAGGGACGGCCTGGGGCGTCGGAGCTGGGCTTGCCCAGCTGGCGGTCGCGGGAGGAGGCACCACCGTGGGCGTGGGATTGTAGCCTGCGGGGGTAGGGGCAGGACTGGGGCTAGCAGGTCCTCCTCCTCCTCCGGGTCCTCCCGGTGCGGGGTAGAGGATGAAGGTGTTGTCCACGGGGCCGTCGTAGGGAACTCGCCAGCCGCTGGCAGGCGGCTCCTGCTCTTTGTCTGGTTGGTAGGCCCAGACCTGGTCGCCGCCCACCTTCGGCCCAAACCACCAGCCCGAGAAGCTCGGGCCGTCCCGCTCATCCTCGCCAGGCTCTTTGCAGATCAGGGGCTTGAGAGATTTAGGTTGGAGGAAAACCTCGAAACCGGAAATTATCGACGACCGCCAACAACAAAACGAGAGCACTCACATTGACATTCAGTGCACATGTCAGCCAGGGTGCCCAGAAATAGATCATCACATCCAGGCCATTCCACTGGGACTCTTTCTTGAAGACCGGGTGGCCATGATTCTCTCCCTCCCGAGTGAAGTGACCACGAACAATCTGGGCCACCGTCTCATGTCTACAGCCTGACACCACCAGCCGATAGGCTCCCGAGCTCTCCGCAGGTGCGGGCGCCGCACTTTGCGTCGGCGCAGCTGCAAAGCCGAAGGCTTGGTAGGCCTGTGCCGGCTGCGCTGGCTGCGCGGGTTGCGTGGGCTGCGTGGGCTGGGCGGGCTGGGCGGGCTGGGCCGGTTGCGCTTGTTGCGGCTGGTACGCCACTGGTGCATAGCTGACGGGATACGCCGGGGAATATCCCGGGTATTGGACTCCATATGCGAAGCTCATGGCTGGGACTACCTCTCGGCCATGCCTGAGCGCATGCTGTGCATGCTCTATAGGATCTGAACCGAAAGGGTCCGCGCAGCATGGGTACTTCTGTAATGACGGCCTCCGATCATCATATTGACGGCTGCTGTCGCAAATGCAAGTAACTACAGATGCTTCCTTACTGCGATGTGACCTGCACATTGTACAGCTCCAGCATAAGCCCTTTCTTGCACCGATCGCTCCGTCTTTGTGTCTGGGAGCTGAGGCAGGACGTGCTGCACGTCCTGAGAGGCGGCTTCTTCGAAGTCGCCCTCCCCTGGCAGAGTACAGCGGAATCGGAAAATACTTATTCGCCGCCTTGTGGTCCTCGTGGGTAGGCGGACTGCGCACTGTACATTCAAGGAATGCCAAACCCGGTGGCACCCATTCCTCCTGGGCGATGCACCGACGATGACTGTGAACTAATGGATGTTTGTATATAGGATGCGGTGTAAGCGTGGCCTGCGCTGTGCAACTTTTGCTGGACCTTCTGAAAACAGAGCCATGGGCGATGGGGCTTGGCGCGAAATCGCAGGAAGCTACAGAAGACTTCCGTAAATTTCATCGCCACTTGTTCTTCCCCGATTCCTCCGGAATGCAGCGGAGACTGGGTGCTCGATGGCGGCAGGAGTCCGACATGTCCAAGAGGGCCCTAAATCCGCATCGTTCGATCCGGGTTCCTGCGCCAGAGCTTTACAGGCTTCAGGCTTGAAAGGGAGAGAGTTCCTTCTCCCCGCTCCCTTTCACTCCGGAAGCGCCTCCGGCAGTGCTGTTGTTGCTGTGTCCTCCGACTGTGGTCTCTTTCGCTCTCAGCCCAGTCGTCTCCAGTACCGACGCCTTCTTCAGGTTTTCTGAAGGCTCAGCCGCTCAGCCTTCAGCTCCGTTCCTCGCTGCATCCTGCCACGAGCGCCCCGCAAAACTCTTCGAGAAAAAGAGCAACTCCGACCCAGACCTTCCAATTTCCCGCAAAGCACGAACCGCATCAGTTGGTAAACCAATAAACAAACAAACAAAGAAACGAACAAATGAAAACACAATGTATAGATACACATGCATCTCTGTATATACGCATGCAATCTATCTATATATGCAGTATATATATATATATACACACACACACCCACACCGAAAGCGTTGCAACCTTCAAATAGAGTCGGAATACTAGAAGAAGGGCCCAGTCCTCGAAGTCCTCGTTGTCGGCCTCGAGGCTTTCTAAGCGCTCCAGGCGGGCCCGCAGCGCCTCGGTGCGGCGCTTGGCCTCTCAGAGCGACTCTTCGGGTCCAGGGGGTTTCAGGGTCTTTTTAGGGAAACCTTCAGGGTATATTTTTCCCTCTCGCATTGCTGAGAACTATGCTTTCAGGGTATATAGTCTAAGTAGAAAAGGGATGTAGAGGGTTCGACGGTCACACTCGGACTGGACTAGAAGGTTTCAAGTTTCGGCGCTCACACTCGGACAATCCAGGCGAGGCATACTAATTAGAGGGTTTGGGGGTTTACGCCCTCGCAACTCGGACAGTGCCAGACGAGGTCTCAAGCCTAGGGTTTTGATGGAGATGAAGGCTCCGCGCCTCATCAAAGTCTGCTTTGAGCCGGGCCTCCTCGCGCCGGTCCTCGCTTCCACACTTCCTAAACACCACTGAACCTTTTCAAAACTTCCCTTGCCCACTTTTCTCAAAAAACTCCTCCCCCCCCTCTGATTTACACCCTCTCCTCTCTCCCATTTCCTTTCTTCCCGTTCGCATTCCCGGCTCCTCCTTAGTGGCAAAGAGGTACTCGGCCTCTGCCTCGTGACGCTCCCGCCGCAGATCTGCCAGGCTAGCCTCCACCGAAAGCACCACCAAAAACCCTTTTGCCCATACTGTAACCTACTTTAAGGAAAGCCCAAATCAACCCTATTCCTCCAAACCCTACAGGTTTAAAGCTGGTCATCCTAGACCCGCGCCTGGGCGCCCTCTTCTGAAGTCTGTAGAACCAGAGTGATCCATCTCCCGGTCAGAGGGGCTGCTTTTTCCTCTGGAATTTGGTTTCCAAACTCCCGAAATTGCTTTGGGGACCCTCCTTGATTATCTCGAAAGTCGAAGCAAACTGCGAGTGACCAATTGTGTCCCGACCCAGCCCTCCGTCTTTTCGTGCATTCTGAACGACCCTGATGTGGAGACCGTTCTTTACCTGAAACAGAGGCGGATAAGCCCTACAGACAAGGGAGTTATCATTATTACAACTATGAATATGTCGTCGTCGTAGTAGTCGTCGTCG